GGAAACGTTAACAAGTCCAACGCTTCCCCCCCCCCCCCCCCCATCGTAGCTCAGAATCTGTCACCCCCACAAGACAAAGATCCCCCCCTTGAACAGACTGTAGGGGCAAGTGCTGTTAGCGAGCACCCATGAAGGCCGGCACGGCACACGAGGGGGAGGGTGACCAACACCACGCCCGACCGCCTTTGTCTCCCCAGTGGCGATGCTTTACACGCCGCACCAGGTGCTCATTTGAGGCTGAGGCGACCTAGGGGAGGTCCAGGACCAGTTCAGATAATCGTCACTGGTGCTGGCCGGATTCGCCGGGCTCGTAGCGCAGCGCAATAACTACTACACTACCGCTCCAAAGACAAAGATCCCCCGTGTAGCCTTAACAGACTGTAGGGGCAAGTGCTATTAGCGAGCACCTATAACGGCCGGCACGGCACACGAGGGGGTGGATGGCCAGCGCCACGCCCGGCCACCTTTAACTCCCTAATGGCGATGTTTACACATCGCACCAGATACTCATTTGAGGCTGAGTCGACATAGGGGAGGCCCGTGACCGGTTCAAATAATCGGCACTGGTGTTGTCCGTGAGCGGGAATCTAACTCGGGTTTCCAGGTTCGTAGCGCAGCGCGCTAACCACTGCACTACCGCTCCCCACAATATAAATCACACACGCACGTTTCGTCCGTGTTGGACCTATCCAGACGACAGCCTTCTCGTGACCCGCACGTGAACGCACAGAAGCCGCTGCACAGCACCGAGAGAGACAGAGAGAGAGAGAGACACACACTCACACACAATACTATTCGCGTTTTCAAACCTTCGTCGGGAGAGCGTACACAACAATCAGGCTCTCGAGCGCGCGGCGAGTTCCCCCACCTTGACGCGCAGAAGCTCCGAACGAGTCCGCTGTGCATGGCGCACGGCCGCTCTGCCTGCTCCGTATTCAGCGCTACGACATCCCCCCCCCCCCGCTCAAGCATAAACATTTAGAAGTTAATCATCAGAGATGTAGAACCCTTGCCATCGCCCGCCTCGGGTTTATGTTTTGTCCAGATGAGAGCAATAATAACCTTTATTTGGATAATTAGTAACCAATACGAAATGCAGTCTATTGCCGCAGAGAGAGAGAGAGAACCAACCAGAGTCACTGCTGCTGATGGGAATATTCTTGGTATTGTGTCTTCATTATTGGACTAAAGCGTTGCATTTAAAGTTTTTTTTTATACTATGTTACAATGAAAATAATAACAACGTATCGATTGCCAAACACTGTATCAATTCACCGCTGGATGAAAGCCTACGTACTGTGCGTCGTTCAACGGCAGTTGTTTGACCATACTTCACCACTCTGGTTCAGCGTAGAATCGGTTCATACCGGCGATCGATCGAACTTGCGAGATCACCGAATCGCTAACCACTGCGCCACCGCTCCACATCATCACGTCACGTCTAATATCACCTTTTATTTCAACGCGTCTTACGTTCTACCTTATTGTTACGCTATTTAGAATTCACTCAATTGTGTTCATATGTTCTATTGTTAAAAGTTCAAACGCTATTTATATTCGCTCACTCGTGTAAATATGTTCTATTGTTAAAAGTTTAAACAGGTATCATATCTAGTTTAAAAAGGAACTGGCGTGAGGAGAAGTTGGGAATTGTACTCGGTAAAAAAAACATTCGTTAAAAATATCGTGGCCTTAAAAATAAAGGAAATTACGCGACGTTTCGGGCAATAACCGTTATTCACAGCACATAGATAGGTCCCAGAGATCACGCTGTGAAGAATGGACATTTTCTAAAACGTCGCCTATTTTTGTTTAAATATTTATTTTATAAACGTAAAGCCGGCGTGATGTGACATCGTCGAGATGGTCATCTGCGGCGTAGATAGTTATATTATTGTGAATAAAGACGCCAAATTTCGATCATTCTCGCGACTCTCGGCGCGTCGACTTCGGCGTCTCGCCACCAATCAATTTACCCGGCATCGAGCGAACCGCGACGGGTTACTGTTTTTTTTGTGTGTGCGCAGCGTGCGACACTTTAAATAATGGACAGCCGGTAATGCCACCGTGTGCCCTTTTCGCTCAGCCGCGTCTGTGCCGTGGGCCCTTTGAGCGGTCCCCGTCGTTCGACGCCTCTGCTTAAACACCACGCACTGCATGTCGAGGTGTAAGAGCCAAGAGTTTTGGCCGCTCTTACCCCCAACGCCGGCAAAAAAAATAGAATAAGTACGAGAGCCATGTGCTCTGTACGTGTACGGAGTGCGCACGTGGCATCCCTACAGTCCAGAGACGGGGCGAGGACCGTGTTGTACAAATCAGTGCCGGGGAAAGTTGTTCGCAAATTAAATTGCACGAGTGGCTATATGTATATATATGTGCGTGTGTACACAATATGAAACACGTGTCCAAAATATAGGCTTTTGAGTTAGATGGCGTATATGTAAAAAAATGTTCGTTAAACCCGCCACAGCCAATTAGTAAGGCCTGATGATGCTAGTTCTAATTACTGGCGAAACGTCGTACTCGAATTGTAGCTGTTGTGAGTTTACTCTCCAACACACCGGTGTGCTGAACTAGACACTAAACTGGCATGTTTACGTGACGAGCCTTACTAATTGGCTGTGTCAGGTGGTGGCGGGTTTAACGACACTTTTGTATTTACGCGATCTAACCCAAAAAACCCAATTATGGATAATATTGGTCGCGAATCCATACGTGTTAAATACACACAAGCAGATTGCTAAAACATATAGACACAATTTGGGCAGTTTAGGGACAAATAAAATATTCATGCGGACTTGAAGAATTGCTGGACAAGCAGAAAGGCAGCAGTTTGAATGCTCAGGCGTCTCGCTAACACGGTTTTTGTTCGGGGAATATCTCGAGCAAATGTTTAAGCAGTCTATACCAGACTGTGTATATCTGTCACTGAACAGTCTTAATCATTTTTTTATTTAAAGCTTTCGTGACTGCAGGGGTTCATATTCTTGGTTCTTTCGGTAAAGTCACGCAGAAGGGAAACAATAAAATAATAAAAATATAAAACAATAAAATTCTCACGACTTTTCGACTGCAACACAAGCAATCATCATCAGGTGTGAAAACCACAACAAGAAAATTTGTTTCCCTTCTACGTGACTTTACCGAAAGAACCAGGAATAGTCTTAATCATTTTACACTATTTCGGTAAATAGGCAAAGCGGAAATTGTAAAGTGTAACCAGCTTCCTTAGATTTTCTACCTTTGCAAATTATAGATTTGTTTTTTTATAAAGTTAATTATTATTAGGCTGATTTATACAAGTACTCAGAACCGATTCAGGTATCACCCGCCACAGATGTTAGCCGAATCGAACTCGAATGGCCGTTAGCAGTGCGATAACTGTTACTCACAGCCTTTTTTAATATTCAAAATTTAAATATTACAATTAAAGTGTTTTTGTTTTGTATTCAAGTCAAAAAAACACGCGATGGAAACATAGTTCCAAATTCGGAAACATAGTTCCAAATTCGGAATACGCACATATACAGACTACTCAATCGCGACAGCTTTAAGCAACAAACTCTTCTCGTACGTTATTTGTACAACACGTTGTGTGCTGCGTGACATTGCGAGCGCATTGCAGTGATACATCGGTTTGCCGAGCTTTATGCGTTTTCGGTGTTTTCGCGATTTCGCGTATACACCGCGGCTAACATATTTCTGCACAAACTTTGCGATATGCCGTTTAAATTCACTCAGCCTTGCTATCCGGACGTGGAACAGCAATATTGCGTGCTGTATCTCGTACGGTTTCTCTTTGCACGCTTTTTTTAGGAACGCATCTACTGCCGCGTAGAGAGAGGGAAACCTAAATACACTAATTTCTAAATTAAAAACAATTATCACACCTAGCGCCTTAACAGACTGTTGGAACAATAATTAATCGCACGCCTACCCGTACGTTTTAAATATAGTTATTAATATAGAACGTATATAATATGCCCAACACGGCTATATATATATTTATAAATATATAACGTATATAATATGCCCAACACGTCTATATATTCATAAATATGATTACATTCACGCTAAAGGTAATGATAGAATCGCAATGAAACGACACTGGATTCAACACACACCGTCTGTTCATGACTCCACAATTATGCAGTCCATAACGAATAACAAAAGTGTAATATTATGAACAATCTACCGTAATCAAACCTCTGTATACGGGGGCAGGTGTATGCATATATAACGCTGTTTTTGTGCGGATGGAGACAGACTACCGCTTTGCCTACATCGATAAGCTGCACATTGATCTTAAGATGCAACATTATTTACCCACAGAGCGACACCGCGTCTTACACACAGAGCGACACCGCGTCTTACACACAGAGCCCACACCGCATCTTACACACAGAGACCACACCGCGTCTTACACACAGAGCGACACCGCGTCTTACACACAGAGCCGACTACCGCGTCTTACACACAGAGCCGACTACCGCGTCTTACACACAGAGCGACACCGCGTCTTACACACAGAGCGACACCGCGTCTTACACACAGAGCCGACTACCGCGTCTTACACACAGAGCGACACCGCGTCTTAAACACAGAGCCCACACCGCGTCTTACACACAGAGACCACACCGCGTCTTACACACAGAGCCGACTACCGCGTCTTACACACAGAGCGACACCGCGTCTTACACACAGAGCCCACACCGCGTCTTACACACAGAGACCACACCGCGTCTTACACACAGAGCGACACCGCGTCTTACACACAGAGCCCACACCGCGTCTTACACACAGAGCCGACTACCGCGTCTTACACACAGAGCCGACTACCGCGTCTTACACACAGAGCCGACTACCGCATCTTACACACAGAGTCCACTACCGCGTCTTACACACAGAGCCCACACCGCGTCTTACACACAGAGCGACACCGCGTCTTACACACAGAGCCCACACCGCGTCTTACACACAGAGCCCACATCGCGTCTTACCGTAAGAGTCGATCCACTTCCCCTCGCTGCTCAGCCGCTTCTTCGGGACTCAAGCTCTCCAGCTCCTTCAAGATTGGAGGCGGCTCCAAGTCGTCTCCATCCTCCGACGTTTCGTCGCCCGATAGGTGATTCCGCCGCGCGACCTGGTGCTGCTGCTGATGATGATGCTGATGCTGCTGATGATGCTGTTGGTGGTGTTGCCCGTTGCTGAGGTTAATGTACTCCGCTGGGCCGTCGCCGCCACCCATTGAGAGGTGGTGATGGCTTTGATGGTCGTGGTTGCTACCACCACCACCACCCCCGTCGCCGTGCTGCAGAACCCTCGTGGCGTTGTTAGGAGCCGGAGGGAGGTCTTGCTGGCCGTGCCCACCGCCACCGACGTGAAGGTCGTCGTAGGCGCCCAGCGCTGGCTCGAGTTCGGTGAGCGCCTCCATCAGAGCCGTCTTGCTCACCCCGGAGCACAGCAGATCGTTGAGCAATCCCCTCTGGATGTCGGTCAACTTGGAAACCATTGTCGCGTTCTCGTGCGTGCGACCACCCCCCCCCCCCCCCCCTTTGCGCGCGGTTCGCGCGACCACCTGTACGCGTTCACCACCACCACGACCACCACCGCCACTCCTTCCCGATGTAACGCTGCTGTCTCTCGTACGTGGTACGTGCTTCGGTTATGAGCACAGGTTCCTCGATCCCTCTAAGCAAAGCGCTTGTCGCACGGCCACGCACCTCGCCGCCGCTGTAAAATTTCACTTCGCCTCGTCCATAAGGGTCGAGATCTCCCACTTGGCAGTGGGCAACAGCGGGCAACAAGCTGAGCGAGCGGACGAGACGACGGCGAGGATGGTTGTGGATGAGACGCGATGTCCACCTCGGCCGCAGGTTGACGCCCCCCTCCCCTCCGACTCGGGAAGAAGAGAGACGGGGAAATGAAGAGCAACACTCAAATCTCGCCGCTCAGCCCTGCCATGTCGCCGCCCCCCTCCCCGTGCTTGCGAGCCCGGCACGGCAGCTCCACCGACTACACGCCGCGTGTGTGTGCGCGAGTCTCCCTCGCTGCCCCCTGCCAGCGCCTGTTTACATTTGAAACGAGTAAATTTGCCCTCCCTCTCTCTCTCTCGTTCGCTCCCCCCCCCCCTTCACACAACCCCCAGCTCAGGCTCACTGATAGCGCAGCTCCCCCCTCCCCTCTCTCTCCCTCTTCCCTTTTATTTATTCGCTACACCCCCCCCGAACCCCCTCCGAAACCTGCGGACTTTGAACGCCACAACCGCCCCGCCCGCATTGGCAATTGACACGCAGAGAGGCCGGCACAGAGTGAGAGAGAGTGAGAGAGGGAGAGACTCTGCGAGATGAGATGGGGCGAGGTGCTCTCGTGGCTCGGCGCGACAACTCAGGGTCTTTATATTAACCCGGCAGACACCTTGATCTGGGAGCGGCCAATAGCTGCTGCGTCTCGGATCTCTGTGCGCGCGCGTGTGTGTGTGTATTTGTCTGTCTGTGTTTGATGTACAGACGGGGGGCGTGCGTTCAGCCGGGTAAGAAGAAGACCCGACTCTTGAGTGTTGTGGAGCTGGTCCCTCGAGTAAAGTCTGGGATGGATGGCAGGGTATGTGCGTGTGTGTGTGTATGTTGAACTTATTTCACATCGTACGTAGCCAACCGTGCTAATCGGAGGTGCGGGAGGGAAAGACAATGTGTGGGTTGTGTGTATTGGCTGCTGGTATTAGACGCGTGTATATGTATATGTGTGTGTGTATTGCGCCCGGTGTAAGTGGACTGGCTCGTGTGTGTGTGTGTAAAGCGGAGAGCGGCGGAAAGGTTGAAACACGAGTTCGATTCCCGGCCAGGGTTATCATTGGTGGCGTGTCGCGACATCAGCGAACTTTCTGCAGACCTCCCCGATATCAGCGCAGCTTTACCTCTTGCGCTGGGTGTAGTCAACATCAGCACGGGGGAAAGCGAAGGCGACCGGGCGCACTTTTTTCAGCCACACCAATAATGGATTCGTCTGACTTAAAACTTTCGTGACTGCAGGAATTCATATTCTTTGGTTCTTTCGGTAAAGTCACGTAGATAAAAAAAAATAATGATGATAACAAAGTGAATTAAAATATCACGACGTTTCGATCGCAACACAAGCGGTCGCAACGTGACTTTACCGAAAGAACAAAAGCATATGGATTCGTCTGCTTCACTTTCCATCCAAATGTTGATTACAAATTGTCCGTCTTGTGTTCTCGAGCTTGCACGCGAACACTTTTCTGCTAGTAACAACTAAATGAGCATCCATGCGATATGAGTGATCTGATTTAAAGGGTTACCTGGGGCAATGCTTAAGGATATGCCCCTGTGCTGCGTTAGGGACAAAGTGACGCTCACCTTTGGTTGTTGAATTTACCCAGGATGTATGTAAAGGCTCACAATGCACCACTTATGTCCATGTGCAGTGCAGCAATTTGAGTGTCAATCCACTGCTGAATGAGTGTCTCCCCATGTCCCGCGTGCTGATCGTTGGTGCGTTTTTTTTTAAACTATACTTCACAACGCTGGTGAATGTGGGACGCGTATATATGGGTGCAAAGAAGTACATAATAAGTAAAATATGAGCCTAATTGTGGGCTTACTTTTTAACCTCTATTATTATAACCTCGGTTACCTTTTGACCACGTGTGTATGTGCGGGGAGCGGTAGTGCAACGGTTAGCGCACTGCGCTACGAGCCCGGTCACCTGAGTTCGATTCCTACTCATGACCAATACCAATTATCTGAACCGGTCCTGGGCCTCCCCTAGGCCGACACAGCCTCAAATGAGTACCTGGTTGGACGTGTAAACATCGTCACGAGGTAGATATAGGCGGCCGAGCGCGGTGCTGGCCATCTTCCACCTCGTATGTCGTGCCGACCTTCATAGGTGCTGCTACTCCCTAACAGAACTTGCCCCAAAAGTATAATTAGGTTATACGGGGGATCTTTGTCTTTGTACTATATATAGACGTGTGCTGATGATTAATATTTAACCATACGCGCCGATTTCTAATGTCTTCTCAACGAGTGGTTCAATATCTTCTGAATTCTGCAACACGTCATACAAAAACAAAAACAGCGTAAGAAAAACAATGTGATATATGGAATTGGATATTGGCCCGCGTGTTACAGAGGAGAGTGTTACAGGATTTAATAAGTGGATTGACATTGATGGCAGACGTGAATTTATGATGTTATTTTCTCACTCATATCAGCGTGGTATATGTAAACGGATGGCCTGTATGATGTACAGCAATTACTGCGAATGATCGTAATTTGTTTAAGCCCAACTTTAGTGTTCTTCTTAAACTGTAAGTATGAATAGTTTAACGTATGCACGTTTAACTTCTTTCGCACCGTATGTAATCATAATGAACACGAATTCGTTTTTTTGTAGACGCACACTCACAAAATAAAAACGACGGGATGCCGGACGCGGTGGGTAGCACCACGCTCTATGGAACCCGGCAACCTGAGTTCCACACCCAGCCACGGCTAACGCCTGTGGCGAGTGACGGCTCTAAACCAGACTCTGTCCGCCACGCACATCACCAGCCGGCAGTGCCCGCTGTGGTGAAGTATGGTCGAACGCCACTCCCGTGACGGACACGGGGTAGGGAATTCCATTTCGACTTTTACGCAATAAAAACCAATGTATGATGTGTGCGGATGGCGCGCACATGAACACTGCGTGCCTCGGCTACAATACGCGATCTCTTCCACACACTGTTTATCGAGACTGCAGAACGTTCAGTATCCCCGCCCGATTAAACCGGCAGGTTAATGACCTGCGTCGCTCGGACCCGTTTCAACGCTTTCATTTCACTTTGGCAACATCATCAACAAGTCGAAGACAAAGATCTCCCGTATAGCCTGAACAGACGTTTGGGGCAAGTGCTGTTAGCGAGCAGCGACACCTACTAAGGCCGGCACGGCACACGGTGCACGGCCGCCTTTGTCTCCCCAAAGGCGATGTTAACACATCGCGTCATCGCTCCAACACCCCGATGTACTTTGATGCACCGTTTTGGCGCTTGCCAGCCCGCGCGCAAAGTCAGCCCGGGAATTCTTTATTCGATATCTGTATCGTGTGAAGATCACACACTGCAACTGGACTGGCAGCGGTACGCAAGCACAAATAACAAAAACTCAACAGCAAGAAAATAAATCAGAGCCAGCAGCCTAAACGAGCGAAACTATGGCGGGGAAGGGGGGGAATTGCCATTTGAAAGAGGTGAGTTTTCAGGGAAGATTTAAACAGCTGTAAAGATTATGATTGTCTTGTCATCAGCGGCAACGCGAGCCATAGTCTTTGAGGTGCACTTGACAAAAGCCCGATCACCCAAGGAACGGAGCCTTGATCTCGATAATAGGCGACGTTTTAGGCAATGGTCTTTCTTCTTCGTCTTCTTTTTCTTCTTCTAAGTCTTCACGGCAATGAATAACTAACTGGGACCGTTATCAAAGTCTCCGCTCAGGTGTTGCCATTGAACGGTTTCAAGTTCGCGGTTGCTGGGCTCGCGCGATCTCTCATCTCTCAAAGGCGTCGTGCCTAGCGTGGCTTTCAACGCCCCTCCCACACACACGCAACCCCCTCGTGCCGTTAGCATGTTACTTACACGTGTCGTAAGCATGTTAATTTCACCGACGGCCTCTCAACGCAGAGATAGACGGGATTCCTAAAAGAACAAAAAAAAATTTCCGCCCAAAAAGATAACAAAATAAAATACAAATGCGCCGTGAAGAGTCGAGAGGTCTGCTCCCTATCGCCGACCTCCTTTTATCACGGTTGACTACGTACGGTACGAGAGAAGTTCAACATACATCCATACGGGTGTCAATTAAAATCTGTACTCTTTGTTACACGTGTACTGGGACTCGAACTCAGGGGGTCGGGTTCATTGCGCGGTTGCAAACCTCTAAGTAATTCATGTACCGTTTCGAGTGAGTAAATCTACGTTCCGTTCCATTGTCGCCACACAGAAATCACTATTGTTAATATATGGGATGATATGGACACAAAAAAACCCACGACTATTTTCTTTCTTTGAGGATACTATCAACTATTACATTTACCAGTTAAGGGGCATTGAGCTATATAGCTCCTATCCTTTGGGTCTTTCGGTAAAGTCACGTAGATAGGTTCAAATAAAACAACCAAAAAAACTACGACGTTTCGATAGCAACACAAGAGGTCGTGATGATTTCCATCATCAGGATGACGACCGCTCGCTCGTGTTGCCATCGAAACGTCGTAGTTTTTTTGGTTATTTTCCTTGAACCTACCTACGTGACTTTACCGAAAGACCCAAATAATATGAATTCCTGCAGTCACGAAAGCTTGAAGTCAAGATTTATATAGCTCCTTTGCAGAAGCGACTTGGCCACAAATGATAGTTCAACGAAGTGGCTTATCGCGTTGAAATGCACGGCAGCCAAATCCTCTCTAAACGAATGTTGATTCGAAACGTGAAGGGGAATAACCGGTGAGAGAAAGAGAGGCACGCAAAGTCCAAATATGCAGCAGCAGCAGGCGTCAGGGTCGGGATCGAACTCACGACCTCCTGAATACCAGGCGAGGTAGTTAACATCTCCTAGCCACCGTGGTGGTGATGATGAGAGAGAGACACGCAAACTCCAAATATACAGCAGCAGCAGCAGGCGTCAGGGTGGGGATCGAACTCACGGCCTCCTGTATACCAGGCGAGGTAGTTAACATCTCCTAGCCACCGTGGTGGTGATGATGAGAGAGAGACACGCAAACTCCAAATATACAGCAGCAGCAGCAGCAGGCGTCAGGGTGGGGATCGAACTCACGGCCTCCTGTATACCAGGCGAGGTAGTCAACATCTCCTAGCCACCGTGGCGCACCGGAGGCGCGGTGCGACTGTTTACTTATGTACATTGACCATTGTCACGTTGTTTACAACTGGTGATTTCGCCTTGTCCTGTGCACACAATGTCTTGTCTTGCCGTCCCTATTTAATCCCGGGTCTACCTTGACAAACAGAAACCTTTTGTCTCATTGGGTAATGGCAAATACAAACAGGACTCCGTCTCTGTACATGAATAACACACGCGCGTGTGTCTGTTTTTGTGTGTGCGTGCTTGCTCGCGACCCGAGTTCGATTCCCGCTCACGGCCAACACCCAGTGACGATTATCTGAACTGGTCCTGCGCCTCCCCGAGGCCAACTCGGCCTTAAATGAGTACCTGGTGCGCTGTATAGTAAACATCGCTACTGGGGAGAGACAAAGGCGGCCGTGCGTGGTGTTGGCCATCCACCCGCTCGTGTGCCGTGCCGGCCTTCATAGGTGATCGCTAACAGCACTTGCCCCAATAGTCTGTTAATTCTATACGGGGGATCT